AGAGATAAAACAAGGGATGGGATGTCAAATTCAGTCGAAGAGTTACAAACGGTGGCAAAGCAAAAAATATCAAATATCACAATTAGTGAAAATTTTTTGCGGATAAGTTGCTAACTCGGGAACCAGAAAAGCTAGAAAGCAGGAATTTTAAGAGAATGTCCCCAGCCTATGTAGAACTTCATGAGTTCAGATCCAGCTGAGTATTCAGCCTTCTTAATGTTTTCCGAAAAACCGCACTAACCTTAAGTATGCCGACACCTTTTACGTCACCATTGAGCAGTAACTTCGGCCCAGCATTACGTGTCTCTTTGCCGTCGAGCCGCTCCTCCACAAGTCGAGGCGATTTTCGACCACTGAACATGCTTGCTGGTTCTCAAAAATACCAAACCATAATGCTGGAAAAACCAACCACTTGACCAACACAGTTTACAAATGCACCAAAATCAGGCAATTACTAGAATACCCGTCGGGCAACGCTACCCGCTATGGCCAAGAAAAAAGTTTTTGCAAGTCGTATATGGCGCTGGCCGAGCCGAGCCGAGTTTTAGTAATTGCGTGTTATTATTTAAGGAGTCAGGTATCGTAGGCTGTTGGTTTTTGCGAATTTTGGCAAATCTGTCAGGATTGCGAGCGGCGGTGTCTTGTGTTAGCTGTCTGATGAGGCTCCCAGATTTCCGATTATTACAGGAAAGCGTTGGCACACCGTTACGTTGAAATGGTTGTGGTGCTGTTATGGCGCCCTCTGTTAGTCGGGCTTCTGGTCTTCCGTACAGTTTCTGTATACTGTAGACATAGTGGTCCAGAAGAGCCCGTTAATCCGTGAAAAGCGGGCAGAAATTGGAATGTGCCGATCCGCAGAGTACGCCATTACTCTCAGCTTTACTTAAGCATCAGCTTCATAAATGGGTAATTCCTACTACTGTTGACGACGAGTTTTCTTCCTCCACCTGTTCAACTGGCAACTTTTGCACTTGTCTTAACCAGTGCTAGCTACACTGATGTTCATCAGCCTGCTGGCGTTCCTGACTTTCGTTTTGTTTCTTGATTGGAATTATCAATTCAGCGATTCTCTCAACAGAAACATTTGGCAGGGTTTAGTTGTTTTGAGAGGTGTTGTTGATTGGGTTCGCGTGTATCATTCGGTCTACGTCTACCGCCGAGTGCCTTTCATCAGCCGATCTATTTATGCCAGTTCTGGTGATTCGTCCATTACCCATCCTGCTCATCGTCATTGGCTCATGCAATAAAGTGTATCTTTTGTCTCTGGCTTAGCCTATCACTCACATTGGTTCCTTCGATTCATTGACACGTTTCATGCGCGCTATCAGAATACTACTTTATTGTACAAATTCAAGAGCTCCAGCTGCTTCGCATGAGTGCCGATAGTGTGACTGTTTATACAGCGGGACCCGAAGAATTTAGAGGTTTGGGGACGAGGAGTTCGAATCCCTGACGAACAAGAGGGGGACTCTTTCGTGATACCGCGGTTAGTCGATCCTTTAGTTCTGGCGATACTGCCGTACCTTTCATGTACCTCGGATTGCCATTTTGCAGTATTTTCTTATGAAAGTATCGTAGGAGTATTATGACAGTATCACAAGAAAGTAACATAAGAATCATAAGATAGAAGGTGTGATTGTATTCCCTTTTTACAGTATTTTCTTATGAGAGTATCATAAGTTAGCGTCACAAGAAAATACTGCAGGATGAGGATGCAGTCATTCATA